TCACTTCCCTATCCTGTTCTTCAGGGACCGATCCTGCACAGTCCTCAATGTGGAAGGTGATGCCTTTGGGGCGGGACTCCTCCAAAATTACATGGATCGTGCAGAGATGCGGAGTTCAGTGCCAGAGTTGATCCAAGTGAAGAGTGAGATGCCCCTGGCTCCACTGCCCGCCCCCACTGAGGAGGGGAACCCCCTCCTCAAACACCGCCTGGGATCTGCTGGGGATGCAGACCCCTGCGAGAAGGAGTCGGTTATGTAAACCCCATGGGGACTTTCCCTGCGCTGATGGGGGCACTCTGGACATGGGGATTGTGAACCGGGGTTCTGGAGGCCCTTCCTGCTGCACACTTAAGGGATCCAGGGTCCCAGCCTCTCTCCCTGACATCAGATCTGGGAGGCCTCGATGCTGGGGTATAGGTGTGTGTGTGTGTGTGTGTGTGTGTGTGTGTGTGTGTGTGTGTGTGTATCTCTCCCCAGATCTTCCCCAGTCCTCAATTCCTGTTTCCACCCAAAGTTAGGAAACATGATGGAGAAATAGTGTCTTTCTGGCCCCCTCATCTTAAGGCACAGGTCACCATGTGGATTTCTGCCCTCATTGAGAGGTAGGACATTCCAGTGGGTCGATGGCTATTTTGGTGGCTGTAGCTGTGTGTGTGTGTGTGTGTGTGTGTGTGTGTTTTGCGGCTCCATGGCACATCCCACCCTGTCCTCAGGCCCTCTGTTCCCTCCGCTGTAACAAACACTCCTGGGGACCCTGCCAGGGTGGGGGAGACTGAGGACAAATACTGCTGTCACTCCAAAGGACGTTTTTTAGCAATAAAACTATCAAGTGTATCTCCTCGGATGTTTCTAAGACCAAAAGCATGAGCCACACAGAAAAAAACCAAACGTGACAAGTAAGAATCCACTGAAATAAGATAACTGTTTGTCAAAAAACACCATTGAAGGGGCGCCCGGGTGGCTCAGTCGGTGAAGCGATCTCATAAATGTTCCGTGTCTCGACGCGGGTGATGCTCACACAGACGTATACATTTGGGGAAGTTCGCCTGCACACTTAAGATGCGCGCGATTTTACCCCACGTAATGCCATCTTGTAGCTGAAAATGTACAACTCACTCCTGGGAAGAGACTGACTTTCTGCTGTAGCCACTTACGGGTACTTCCCTGATACTTGAACTCTATCCAATAGAGGCAGTAATGCCCTGCTCTCCCCCCCCCCCCCTTTTTTTATTTAAACCAGAATTTGCTGTTTGAATAAAAAACCTGCAGTGCAAGTGTTTTTAAGTCCTGTTTTGAGTCTGGGATGTGGATGATGCCCAGTTGTGGCTCACTTGGTAACGATCCTGTCTTGAATGCTGCTGAAACGTGTTATACATTACTAATAATTATCTTCCCCCTTCCTAGGGCCCTGTGTAGGCTCCTGCCAGGTGCCCGGGAGGCACCACCAACCCAAGTCCAATTGTAGATGGTATCTTGGGGTATCTTTTGCATCTTTTCGTTGGTTTGTTTTTGTGTATTTAGTTCCATCGCGTGATCATTGCAGTGTGGAAGGAAAGTCTAATTCATATCTGATTCTGTGCAAAACTGTTGTGTATCACACACAAACATAACCACTAATGAGCTCATTAAGTGTTGAATAGTTCAAGCAGTTGATACATTCAGTGCTTTCTATTAGGCTCAAATCCTTGGTGGGTGGTTATAAAAGTGTTGAAGGGTTTTAGGGGCGCCTGGGTGGCGCAGTCGGTTAAGCATCCGACTTCAGCCAGGTCACGATCTCGCGGTCCGTGAGTTCGAGCCCCGCGTCGGGCTCTGGGCTGATGGCTCAGAGCCTGGAGCCTGTTTCCATTCTGTGTCTCCCTCTCTCTCTGCCCCTCCCCCGTTCAAGCTCTGTCTCTCTCTGTCCCCCCCAAAAAAAAAATAAATGTTAAAGAGATACACACATGCATAGGTAATATATATACTGTATATGGAATATGTGTATATACGAGGAATACGTAACCCAGACAAGCCCAACAGAATGGTATTTCCCTTTTCCTCTATTCCATTTTTTTTTTTTTTAATTATTTTTGAGAGAGTGTGAGTGGGGGAGGAGCATAGACAGGGAGGGGCGACAGAGGATCCGAAGCGGGCTCCCTGCTGACAGCAGCCAGCCAGATGCGGGGCTCGAACTCACGAACCATGAGATCATGACCCGAGCGGAAGTCGGACGCTTAACCAACGGAGCCACCCAGGCACCTCTTTCTATTCCATTTTTTAAGATTTGCTGGGCACATGCCACTACTTTGCTGATCTGGGTCAGGAACCATTTCAGGCCTCCTCAGTGTGGACAGGTGCTCCAGACCTGTTTGCCACCGCAACGTGCCCACCACCTTAGTCCTGTTCACCACTGTATGCTCGGCACAGCGTGGGGACTGGCACATAGTAGGTACTCAATAAACATTTGCAGAATGAATGAATTGGGCTCCAGCTACAGAGCCGCCTGGCTAGAAGAGGCTGTTAGGCTAGCTCAGATCCTGCTTTTTGCTACCTGCCAGCTGTGTGACCTTGTGTAAGCACTAGGGAGTCTCACCCTCTGGCGACAATGGCTCTGTTATGTGTGTGCCTCACCCAAAGGCCACTAGTGAAGTTTACATAAGAGCAGAAGGCAAAGCGCACGTGAGGCCGCCTTCCGGGGCCCGGCTCCCACCTCCCGCTCCCTTCCTCCATTGCCAGATCCACCCCTGTTTTTGGGGACACCCCTCTTGCTCCTTTGAAGAAGCCTGGCTTGGGAGGAAGTGCTCAGGCTAGCCCCGCACCAGGCTTGGACCTGCGTCCTAGGCTCATAGTCACAGGATGGGGGTGGGGGACTGGCAGACACAGGGTGATGACAGCTTTGTCTCTCCTAGTGACAACGTTTCTAGGGCGGTTGGACTTTTGTAGGGGGGAGGGGTCAACCTTATTAAGGTATAACTTGCATCCCATAAAGTGCATCTGCTAAAGTAGGTAATTGGATGGGGCGGGGGGGGGGGGGGGGCGCCTGGGTGGCTCAGTCGTTTGGGCGGCCGACTTGACTCCAGCTCAGGTCATGATCTCGCAGTCTGTGAGTTCGAGCCCCGCGTCGGGCTTCCGCCCGACAACCACTGACCTGCTTTGGGTCACTAAGGATTAGTTTGTCTCTTCTAGAATTTCGCATTGGTGGAATTATATAGTATGTTGCCTTTTGCGCCCTGCTTCTCTTACTTTGTATCGTGCCTTCGAGATTTTAGGCATGTTTTTGCACGGACCGGTTTATTCCTTTTTGTGTTTAACCACCAAAGAGTATTCTGCTCTCCACCCTTCACGTTTGTTTATCCATTCACCTGTAATGGACACTGGGTGGTTTCCAGCTTGGGGCTAATGTATATAAAGGTGCATTTGTACATGGCTCTTTGCCTGCCCTCCACTTTCCATAGCAAATATTTTGCAATGCCCACGAAGGGTACACAAATATTTG